TTTTTTTTTTTTTTTTTTTGCAAAAACAGACTTAAGCAATTTCACAATAGGTGGGGCGAATGCACCCGAGAAAGTCATCGAGGACGATGACAAAATTAAGTGGGAGAGAATGTTACATTTTGCAATATGATTGTGACTCGAGTAAGTCATCGAGGACGATGACTAAGTTAAGTGGAGGAGAATGTCACAACCATAGTATGAAGAGAGTACCCTCACGCCATGACAAGTAAAGGGGCGTCCCTCAAGAGACGCCCCATCTGGCCATATGCGGGCCAACATAGAAGAATGCCATGATGCGATCGAGGAGGACGATGCATCATCCAACACACCACCACGCAAAGTGGGTATTGAAGATATATGTTGAGACATAAGCATAACAGAGACATCAGCATAGACATGAAGGACAAGATAGGCTTGTTGAAGGGCCAGGTAGGGCCCCGGGCCTTAACCTCAAAAGTCATTTCACAAAGTCGGACTAGAATCAAGCTCAACAGGGTCTTCTTTCCTCGCTGATTCTGCCAAGCCCGTTCCCTTGGCTGTGGTTTCGCTGGATAGTAGACAAAGACAGTGGGAATCTCGTTAATCCATTCATGCACGTATTATTCGTTGTGATAATTGAGCCATTATTTCATTCTTAATTTATTATTATTTATGTTCTTTTATATGATTCCAAAGAAAGAGAAAATTAAAAAAAAAATATGCTCACTTTTATAATTTATGAATCACTTGGTTCTTGTGATGTTTGATAATTTAGTGAGACATTAATATCGGGAGAGAATATGCTCTTCAATAAAATTCAAGTACGAAAATTATTTATACATCATTTGAATTATAAAAATAGATCTCACATTATTTTTATTAATATTTATTATTATATTATTAATATATTTTAAAAAATATCAATAATAAAAATGAATTTGAAATGTTTTAATATTTATTTAAAAAATAATAATAAAATATATATAAAACACCTCATCTACCTCTTATTTCTCTTTTAAATCACAAATATAAACATAGTTAAAATGATTTACCTTTTATTTCTCCCCTCAATAAAACTCTATTTTTTTTTTTTTAATGATAATTTTAAAAAAAATTATTTTAATAATACATGTTTTAGTGGTCCATATTAATTCCCATTTCTACACTTATTCTGTAAGACCCGAAATTTTCTACTTAATTTAAGGTTGCTACTGTATACGTACCATAAAAATTAAATGCGAAAAACTTCATTTAAATTCGATAGAACATAACCTTTATCTTAAAACACAGTCATGGACTTACGTGTTTCGAAAACATCTTTAAAACGACACAAGAAAGACTAAATAAAAGGAATAGGAGTTTAAGTTAAAAACATTCTATTCTAGCCTAAGTCAAAGAAAATAAATACCACTATCCTACGCATGTGTCATGGTCTTGAGTTGCGATGTTGTCGTCAGCCGTACATGCGAGTATGGGCTCACCAGCTAGTTCGCACACCGCTGTGGCACTTTCCTTAGCCGGTGGGCATACTCTAGGAGCCCCTTATACCGGAAACCGTTAGAACTAGTAACCATCACGGCAGCGCTATGCAAAGCATAACAATCGTTGTCCTGCCATTGGATGTACGCGTCCGCTCCCTCATGATGGGTTAGGGGTATCCCCCAAATGCATGAGCACACATAATGCAGGAGGTCCCAAAACTTTTCCATCTTCATTATCTTTTAATACAACCCCGCTAGCATTATGTACATATCATATTATTTTTCATATCGTTTCAAATATCGTTCATCATTCATATCATATCGTTTCTCATTCTTCAGTTCTCAAATCATACATAAATCCAACAGGGTTATATTTCATGTCATTTATCGTAATTTCATGTCATTCATATCATGCTGTATACACACAATTTAAGAGACCTACAAAACATTCTATGCTTTTAACATAACATTTCATCATATACACATCATACCATGACATATTGCATCACAATGTATCATATCATAAACAAGTCATAATGTAAACACTTCATAGTCATATCGTTCTCTAACTTATCATAGCCTTAACGTTCTTATACCTATCACAGACATATCATTACGTGAACGTACCTTAGTCATATCATTACAAGAACTTAACCTAACGCTATCATTCTATCAATCTATCACAAACCTAGCCCTTTCTACCCGTAACTTAACTATAATCTTCCATCAATCTCTCTTATTCATATCACTCCGGTATGTAACCTAACCTTAATGTTTCATGAACGTATTTTACTCCTATCGTTACATTTCGTTTTGTGCATCCTTTTTGTATCCTATCTCAAACATATCCTTGAACACATCGTACCGTAATTATTATCATACAATTCACATATTATAACATATACATAACATATAGGAAGCATATCGATCCACAGATAATTCACACATATCAATATATATGACACATGCAAAACCACAAGGCACGTGTCAACATCAAATATAATCATGTTGATAGTAAGTCACTTACCTGGCTACTTAAGTTGTTGTCACGAATATTTCTTTAATGAATGTTTGATTCTGTCCTTTGAAAACCGAGACAACCTATATGAGCCCATGACATTAGTATCAGGTTTGAACTCTAGAAAATTATTTCTGTAATTTACATTGGTCCAGGTTTGAACTCTAGAAAATTATTTTTGTAATTTTGTAACGACCAATCTTCGAAAAATACCGAATCACGAGTCGCCACGTGGACTCAGGAGTAAAAAAAAAAAAATTCAACACTTCATGTAGTTTGAACAGGGGACGGTAAGTTAAAAGTTGCCTGATATCCATTTCAAAAAAAATATATGTATATAAAACATGTAACGAAGATCTGCGAGGTCACATAAAAAACACGGTTACAAAATATAGCAGGTTTTCAAAAAACGTCAAAAATCATAACCAAAACGACATGGGAGAAGAGGACTCAATCTAAGGGCCCCCTTTTGTAGCTGCACGACTCCACACATCCCCGCCACCGACCCAGATCTACTTTTCTCTTGAAAAATAGCAAACAACACAAAGTGAGTATACAAACAATACCCAGTAAGCAACTTGCTCGTAAGCTCTTGTCGATCTTAGCCCTATTCACGGGATTCTAAGTCCTGAGCTCGAATAGTCACCAGTCAGAGACTTAGGGGTGCCTGGCAACATCCAACTGTTCCTAAGATTAGTAACTACCTGCCATTGTGCCTCGCAAGGTCGGGTCAGTCACTACCTGTCTTACGCCCTTGTCGGCTCAAATCAGTAAAACTACCTGTCTTAGGAACAGTAACTACCTGTCTTATGCCGCTCGACTGGATCAATAAAAGGTCATTGCTCATCCCACTAAGCACCTCTTATCACAGTAATATATTATGATTACCCTCAACCCATTGTGGGTGACTACGAAAATGGTACACTGTCATTATGTGCTTCCTAACTTATAATTACTAGCACCTAATAATTCACTCAACACTCAAAGAGTAGCAATGGGCTACCCAAGCCCCACGCCCAATGCCTAACAAAGAACCACGGCGACGATAGGTCGCCATGCTAAGTCACATAATAACCATAATAACCATCTAGCTCAACATAAAAACATACCATTTCATATGCTTATACGAAATTTCATATTCAGGCCAACGAAACTAAATAACCATAACAACAACCAAAGTACAGCCACACACATTATTGAAGTACCACCTCCATGAACTAACTATATCCATTCCTACATACATTACTAAACTGTTTGGCCACAAGTCCAAACCGACTCCTAAAAGCAATTACTTAAAAACTTGCTCTAGATGGTTACTTACCTGATCGTAGACTTCTCAAAACTTTATCGAGTCTTCAAGTGTCCCTTGACTAAGCTTGGAATTTTCCTATAATAAAACATTTATGGAACGTGTGAGTCAAGTACCTAGATCTAGATAAAGACGAATCTGATGGTGTGAAATGGGAAAACAAATCGAGTTTCGGTTCTATACAGGTGGGTCGGGTCGGGTCAGATCGTGCCCCCTCAGTTTTTAGCCTCTTCTTCCCACCTCCTTCTTGATCTTTCTTTCCTCTCAACACCCTATGTCTTCTTCTTCACAAGGACCCACCAACTTCCCTTGACAACAACCTAGGTACATCGATCCCGTGAAAAGTATTAAGGTTTTGGGAAAAACAACAACGAAAATCACACCACTAGAACTTACCGTCGGTGTACTCCCTTCCTCAACCGTTCGGCCCACCGTTGTTAACGAGTGCCTCAAGCTCCGTTTCCACCACTCCACCCTCTTCTCTGTCTTCTTCTTCGTTTTTTTTTCTTTTCTCCCTTCTTTCTTTTTTTCTTCCTTCTTTCCTTCTCTCGGCTGCCTTTCCTTTTTTTTTAAACCTAGTACAGCTGTCATTTCTCCATCCTCCGTCCATGGTTAAAAGTTTTGAAATGTTATATCTATAATTATATTTTTATTAAAAATCTTATTTTTCATGGTGTACTATTTGTATGAGTCTTAAAAATGTTATATATCTATAATTATATTTTTATTAAAAATCTTATTTTTTTTATTTTTCATGGTTACTGTGGTATAAGAAAAATCTTGAAATGTTATATATCTATAATTATATTTTTATTTAAAATCTTATTTTTCATGGTTACTGGTGTATAAGAAAGTAGATACAGTTATTTTAAGTTATTCTGAATTTACTACTCTCTTGTATTTACACTCTCACTCTGTATTTACCTTATTTACTACTCTCTTATATTTACCTTTGTTGGTGGTTTTAAATTCCTTAATCTTCTTTTTTTTTTATTTGTTTTGCCTTTTAATTCTGTTCTCATGTATTACAAATTTCTAGTGGATCTCTGTTTCCAAACCTTTCCTTATCTCAGTGTTTTCTATTCATGAGGTGATTTGTTAGAATTCATATAAATGAAAGCTAAACCATTGTAATAATTGAATGGAGATCTAACTATAATTGGCTCTGATTTCTAAAAAAAATAGAATAAAAGAAAACAAAGATTTAATATATACCTTGATCAGATCTGGGTAATGGCCAGTTCTCTTCTTTTTTTTTTTTTTTTTTTTGAAGTAAATCAGACTATTATTGTCGAGGTGGTAAAAATAGGAATTAATATAGACTATTACAATAATTTTTTTTTTTAATTTATAGTTAAAAAAAAATGAAAGGTTGACTGGATATTTTTATAATTATAGTTGAAAGAAAAATAAGAGTAGACCCTGTGTTTTATATTTTATTTATTTTTTAAAAGTAAATATTAAAACATTCCAAGCTCATTTTTATTATTTATATTTTTTTTAAATATAATAATATAACAATAAAAAAAAATATTAATAAAAGTAATGTAAGTGACGATTTATTTTTATAATTCAAATGATATATAAATAATTTTATTTCTATTTAAAAGTAATTAAAAACTCCACCATGTGTTACTCTTCCTGGTTTTAAGTGTATATTTTGATTGATCTACGATATCAATTTTGTCAGTCAATTTTGTCACCACATCATCACATCGGGTATCTTGTTTCGATTGAAACTTCTTCGTTTTAGCTCTGATTTGAGTAATTGAAAAAGGCGTCGTTATTCTCAACCTTACACTGAATAATTCAAAATACTGATTGTTTTTAATACTTAAGTGTAGGTTTGTTATCCTCAAAACATCAATTATTAATTAAATCAATATAGTGAAAAATAAATAACATGAAATTCAAATAAAAAATAAAACAACGTTGATCTACTAAAGGGCTACAAATAATATGGATGTATCTACCCTAATTTCAGTTTCATGGTCATCATTACAGCGTCGTCAACTGTGCAGAAGTGTCTTATCTTTACCTAAAAATTAAGAGTAGCACTTGACTTGAATATTTTAAGAAATAATTAGTAAGTAACCTCACTACTGACGTCAAGAAATGCAATCACATACAATGATGTTTGGGACCTATCATTTCATAAAGTATCATAACATGGTCTTGGTGTTTACTTGAAAAAATTCGATGTGTAGTATGTCTCTACACATATCCCATGTACCCTCACAAAAAAAATCCAAGATTATTAATGTAATCTTGAATAATAAGTAATGGAAGATCATGTTCAAATAGTAACTTTAAGGGTTTAGAGTACAAACCCAAATTCACCTAGATTTTCATGAAAGGTAGCAAACAATTTTGAAGGTATTTCATCCTAAAATTGTGTGCGAGGAAATTGTAGAGTGAAGGAGGAAGTAGGAACGTGATCTTCAGACACTAAATTCCCATCTTTGGTACACCAAATCTCACGATTTGTGTATGCTAAGGTTGGTGGCAACAAACTCAAATAGAGATTCAGAGGTGAGCCGTTTTGGTATTCTGGAAAACTTTGGACGCGGGTATCTCCGTTGATTCTTAACGAAATTGGGATAATTCTTATGTGTATTCATTTAGCTTGAGGAGATATACAGGTTTCTTGAAGATCACAAGAGCAACCGTGGTCTATAGAATGAAAATTGACAAAGGGAGAAACAACGTTGTTGGGTGAGCAAATCATGCAAGAAAGAAGGACTGATCCAAGTGAACCAGTCCGAACTCAATCATTTAAACTGGACCCAACCGGTTCGATTGGATCGATTTTGGTCCAACCGAACTAGAAATCTTATTTTTACATGTTTACACCATTTTAACCCTATTTTAGCCTCTTTCTCTTAAGGTAGGACCTAAAAGATTATTAAAGCCTCGAAAATCAACCACTAAGTAAGTCATCGTTTAGACTTTTAAGCAAGTAATACTTGTAGGAACCCATTAGGATTATTAACATGATTTATGGATGAGTTAAGTATGGAAATGGATTAGTTATTTTAGCTTGATATGCACGTTTAGGAGTTTCGTTATTTGAAACTTGAGTCGGATTGATTTGAATACTTCATTAGGCTTATGACATGCTATGTTTTACCATATTTTACTTGATATGCATGTATGTATGTTTGTAGATCAATTATGCTCCTAGAAGCATGTTAGGAGGCAAGAATATCTGGATATGCCTAATTTATTTATGGACTAAATGCTACAGGACCTAAAGGATATGTATGATTTATCAGTGAGTCATAACCTACCTTTCTTTGGTCCTTGAGCCACATTTAGGGTCTGTTACGATAACATGGGTCAACTAGGCCTTTGCAGTGATTGTTGGAGTGGAACCCTTAATCGTGAACTCACCTCGAATGGTGAGTGTCTACTTTGCATATATGAATGCAATGTCACCCACTTAGGACCAGGGTATATTAGAGAGTACTAAAGAGGAAGTTCTGGTTGTGCCTAGTGGAAAGCCGATCTTGCACTATTCTGGCCTAGAATGGCATAGGAGGAAGGAGTATTGTTAAATGCCATTAAGGGAGGTTCTGGCTAGTGCTTAGTAGAAGACATGTATGGAGTTACAGGTACATTAAAAAATCATCTATTGCGAGTGATGACTCTTCCATATCTATTAGATTACCTTTGAGTTCAAAACATACGAGGGCACCTCACCTTATGCATGAGAAATGCAATGACGTAATGAACCTTGGGGAGTAGGAAACTAGAGGCTAAGTGCATCCAAATCTGAATGCACCTTGACTTACCCTTGGAATAGGAGTAAGTAAGGTATTAAACCTTAAGAGCCAGAAAGGATAGATATGAATTCTTGGAGTCTTGAGAGGGATAGATATGAATTTTAATAGCTGGAAAGAACTAGATATGAATTAAACTCATGGACTTCACCAATTTTAGGATCCTGAAGGAGCACATAACATATTTGAGGAGCACATAACATAAGAAACAATAAATATGAGAAGTTTTTTTAGAGCCTACAAGTAGGTGTTTTTTTTATACTTATTCTAGATGGTCTGTAACGACAAGGGTTTCAAAAGGAAGGAAGAAGAAAAAGAAAAAAAAAAACGCCTTAAATCTCGGCGAAAATCGCTAGATTTCCGGTGACGCATGCCTTGCCAACAAGGGCATATTAATTCCTTGAGTCCCCATATTAAACCCTAAGTACCTTAGTAGCCGTCTTTTTAGGCATTTGAGGTTAGTGTAACTCTTAATTATTAACACAGATCATGATAGGAACTTACCTTGATAGTTAGACATAAGGTTTGGTTGGGTTACACATGAAAGGACGCTAAGTGTATATTGTGGTGTCATAGGAGGTAGTTAGACGTGGACGTTAGCTTTCACGAGTAACTTCGGCTAAGGCCAAGAGGTAAGTAACCTTACTGATGGTGTTAGTTATATATGTATGATGATGTGTGCCCTGTGGCCCTTGCATGCACCATGTGTGTTGTTGATGTATGCTAGGTTACATGTTTCTTGTCATGAAATTCTACGTATGCCATGTTTATGTATGTGATGTTTGTGCCATGACTTGCTACCATGTATGCATGAGCTTGATTGACATGTCACAATTGTAATGAGAACTTCGCATGCCATGAATGTGATGACTAGTGTGCTACGATATGCTTACTAGATGTTTAACCCAGTTATGCTATGTAATGCGGTGAGGGGATGGAACGTTGTATGTATAATGTCATGGAGGTAAACCTTAGGGACCTCATGCACGCTATGTGTTATGTACACGGGGTTACTTCTCTGTTATATTAATGACGGTACGGACGCGTACATTCGATATTATGCTCGCTATGATATCATGTAGGCCCTCCTTTCCCATGACGTTCGGTATTGTATGTCATACATACCCGACCAAGCCAGGCCTAGGGAGTTCGCATGCGAACTCGTTTGGTGGGCCCACGGTTACATATGTGGGCCATGCATGGGGAGCTACCATGCATCCACCCTGCCTGGACAAAGCAAGGGCCTAAGGCCATGGAAAGGAATGGAAGACAGGTCCCTCTCACGTTTTCTTTCTTTTGGTACTTGTGCTTATGTTTGTGTGTTGTACGCGACCGACATGTGTTCTGAATGTATGTTGTATGCTTAACCCCAACAGTGGGACAACTTACTGATTATTTTATATAATACCCAAGCCACGTGCTACCCATATTTTCAGGTAAGGGCAAGGCCCCCATGTACGGCTGACGGTGAACGCTGCAAAGGCCATGGAAGTCTTAGGGAGGGCTTGTAGTGTCGTAGGCATCTTGTTTGGACTCTTTTGAATGATAGTTAAATTGCAATTATTTCTCCTAGTTACCTGTTGATTTATTTCTTAGTTAGGTTGTCGCTATTATTTTCCTAGATATGAACTAGTTATAATAATGAACATGTCGTCTCTATTGAGGTTTTCTTACATAAATTTTCATACTTTTGTCATACGAGTGCAAGG